CGATAGTATTGTAGCCGCTAAGCATTCCTCTCTCCAGCAATCACTCCTAGTGGCAATCAGTGTCAGCAGAATAAGAGCTCCAGGCCAGACACCTAATGATGCAGCTTTGTATTCTGTTAAATATGCGGATGTTGAAATGATTTTACATTTGTTTTTATCCTAAATTATTCTCCCATCCAGGCTCCAGTGGGCAGGTTGTGGTGACTCAGACTCCAGAGTCCCTGGCAGTGTCTCCTGGGGACACAGTCACTATCCGCTGCAAAACCAGTTCCAGTGTTAGCGGCTGGATGGCCTGGTACCAACAGAAATCAGGACAAGCGCCTAAACTCCTCATCCACAGCGCCTCCACCCGTCCTTCTGGGATCCCAGACCGGTTCAGTGGCAGTGGGTCTGGCACTGACTACACATTCACCATCAGCAGGGTTGAAGCGGATGATGCTGGAGATTATTACTGTCAAAAGCATGACACCGCCCCTCTCACACAGTGATACAGACCAGCACAAAAACCTCCCTGCTCTGTTTAGTGTCAGATTCTCACTCTCAGTGTTTCAGCTGCTTCCTGGGCACCTTCGGAGCACTTCCCGTTTCTGCTGCCCTGCAATGGGACGGCCGGGTGCGTGTCAGAGTTTGGTCACCTCCTTCCAGAACCTGTGTCCCTTCTAGTGCTCCCACCATGTGGGTCAGTACTGTTTACTCAACAGTGGCTCCCAGACCACTGGCACATATTTGCAACAGGCAATAATCTAACCACAGAGAATTGTGGTCCGAGCAAAATCTTTATAAAAAAACAGGACTGTGTAGCACTTTAAAGACTAACAAGATGGTTTATTAGGTGATGAGCTTTCGTGGGCCAGACCCACTTCCTCAGATCAAATAGTGGAAGAAAATAGTCACAACCAATATACCAAAGGATACAATTAAAAAAAAGTACACATATTAAAAGGACAAATCAAATTTCAGAACAGAAGGTGGATGCGGGGGGCGGAGGGAGGTAAATGTCTGTGAGCTAATGATATTAGAGGTGATAATTGGGGAAGCTATCTACATTTCTATCAAAATCTTTATGTGCTCCATTTCACTCTCTCAGGAGATGCGTGGCAGCTGGGAAGACTATACCACACCCAGAGACCTACTCCCCAGATTCACCCCCACTGCTCTTCTAAACATAACGGAGAAAGCATGAATGTGCACAGATCACACACAGCACAACGCACACCTTAGCTGCAATGCCCCTCACTAGCTCTTCCTTCTATTGTGAGTGACTGGGGGTACATCTAGACTACATGCCTCTGGCGACAGGCGTGTGGATTAGGCTACCTGGCATAGGAAAATGAAGCGGTGATTTAAATAATCGCTGCTTAATTTAAATTTAACTGGCTGCCGCACTGAGCCGATCAGCTGTTTGTCAGCTCAGCGCAGTCTGGACACTCCGTGGTTGACTTCAAATGCATTTGTCGACCTCCCAGGTAAACCTCATCCCAGAAGGCATAGCTGGGAGGTCGACAAATGCCTTTGATGTCGACCTCGTAGCGTCCAGACTACCGCGCTAAGCCGACAAACAGCTGATCGGCTCAGCGTGGCAGCCATTTAAATTTAAATGAAGTGGCAATTATTTAAATCGCTGCTTCATTTTCCTATGCTGGGTAGCCTAATTTTACATACTTCTGTCTCCAGAGGCATGTAGTTTAGACGTACCCTGGGAGATCATCTATGTTCAGTAAGGAAGGTGACATGCCCCGTTGCATCTACATGCAGAACCGCTTCACCCTCCTGGGATCTTTCAGCCCAGCTTACCTGCTCTCCACTTTCTCCTGGGAGCTGCAGCCACATGGCCCAGACTCTCCTAGAACTCTCCCTCTTTCCTCTGTAGTTAGGTGGTTTTACTGCAGTGGTGTTCTCACAGGTCTCTGGCTCCGTTAGTGATGATAACTAGAGGGCTGCTTCCATGTGTGCTGAATGATGTGGGCCCAATGACCACAGCAGACCCCGAGAGGGCTCCCAAAGATCACAAACCACATAAGGATCAAAGGTGCCTGGCCAGGTTTTTTTAAGTGATGTACAGTAGCAATGGAAAGAGCAGAAACCAGCTCACATGGGAATTGTGGGAAAGGAATCGGAAACAGCAGCTATTAATGGTCCCGGACAACGGATGTTGCCGGACCAGTGAGTTCAGGCTTATAGAGGTGCAACCTGTAGCAATTTTTCAAAGCCTCACGTAAAGATTCACTTGGCTTTAGGCCAGGTTTTAGAACTGAAACTGCCTTGGTTACCTTGGTAGGCGACCTATGCTGGGAAATAAACAGGGGGAGATTGTCTTGGCCTTTCAGCAGCTTTTGACACCATCGACCCTGGTATCCTTCTCAAATGCCTGGTGGAGTTGCGTTTTGAAGGCACTGTTCTGCAGTGTTTCTGGTCTTACATGTTGGGATGTTTTCAGAAGGTAGAGTTATGGGGCTGGTATTCAACCCCGTCGCAATTGTGGTACAAGATCCCACAAGGCTCCGTCCTGTCCCCCATTCTGTTTAAAATCCGCATGAAGCCACAGGGAGTGCTCATACAGAATTTTGGAGGATGTTGCCATCAATAAGCAGATGACAACCAACTCTATTTCCCTGTGGCATCAGAACCAGGTGTGGCGGTGACTGATCTAAACCAATGCCTGGAGGCAGTGATGGACTGGTTGAAGTCATATAAGATGAATCCAGATTAGACTGAGGTCCTGTGGATCAGGAAGCTATCTATTTGGGAATGTGGCATGGTATCAGTTCTAGACGGGGTTATTCTCCCCTCGAAAGAATAGGTTTGCATCTTGGGAGTCCTCCTGGACCCTTTTTTAACATTTGAGAAGCAGATTTCTTCAGTGGCCAGGAGTGCTTTTGGGTAGCTTCATCTGATCCGCCAGCTTCATTTGAACCGCCCTACCTGAACAAGCATGACTTGGCCACAGTGATCCATGCTCTTGTTACATCCCGACTGGATTAGTGTAATGTGCTTTATGTGGGGCTACCTCTAAAGAGCTTTCAGAGACTTTAACTGGTCCAGAATGAAGCTGCTCATGTCTTAACTAATACTCATTATATGGAGCACATTATGCCAGTGATCCAGCAGCTGCACTGGCTTCTGGCATGTTTCTGGGTACAATGTAAGGTTTTGGTTATGACCTATCAAGCCCGCAATGGGTTGGGTCTGGGTTATCTGAAGGATCGTCTTCTCCCATATGAACCTGCCTGGGGATTGCGGTCAGCTGGGAAGGCTCTGCTCAGTGTTCCCCCACGTATGGAGATAAGATTACGCACAACAGGACTTCTCAGCTTTTGCTCCCGAGCTGTGGAATTCCCTTCTGCAGGATATTTGTGTGGCACCAACGTTAGCATTGTTTCGGTGTCAGGCTAAAGCCGCCATTTATACTCATGCTTTTAGTTTGAGTCTGTGTGTGTGTTCCTCCTCTTGAGATGTTTTTAGCAAGTTTTATGTCCCTCTGGGGTCTCATATTTTTAAATGTGTATATATATA